CCGAAAGAAAATGATTCAGTAAAGAGAATTCCACTACCTTGTTAGGTTGGGTAAGGTCAAGTTAGGTTGAGTAAGGTCAAGTTAGGTTAAGTAAGGCTAAAGTTAGGTAGAGTAAGGTCAAGTTAGGTTAGGTAAAGCCAAAGTTAGGTTCAGTAAAGGTTGTAGGAAATAGGGAAGTCGGTATCTTCCCACACACACACCTACACTCTGCACCATCGGAACCGGACACGAGATAACATAACTGTAACATTGACATTGTCTATAAACTTCACCCCGGTATAGGCGAGACATGCCTCTATGATAAAATGATAGTTACCCCACCAAAATGGTTAATATTTTTCGTAGCGAATACGGATGAAACATTTTCTTAACGTCATTGGAAAAATAAAGCTCAAATAAGTGGCAAAATGATGAAAATAGTGCCACACATTTTAATTGAGAATGTTCTACCACGATCATAACAATAAGCGTATGATTTTAGTTTTAGGACTCTTTGAATGAAGTATAGGAATCTATTACCTAGTGGCTAGTAACAGTAGGATAAAATTACAGTCAACGGTAAAATTCTGGGAAAACGATTAACAGTTTACATAAACATTGGTACTATTGTTTTCAAAATATCACTCATCCTACTCAAACTATCGCATTTGGTAGGGATCGAACCTAGAAATCGTTTACTGATTATTAGTGACGACTACAAACAACAATTGTTATGACATCAAGTTTTAACAGTAAACAATTTTTACAAATTATAATAACATTTAGAGAAATCACAGAGCGAGGTTATTTAAGAAGAATTCACATTAACAGAGATGAAATGGCGTTAGTGAGAAGGAAGGACATTATCTGAAATAACAGAGTTAAGAAGGCGGATATCTGGAAAACCAATTTCCGCTGCTAAGGAAAATGTTGCTTTTCAGCGTCTCAGTATTAACCTAACACCTCTTCGAGTCTATAAATACATTTTCGAATGTCCGTAGAATATCAACCGCTCCTTCAGTACGTCTATGTGAAGTTATTCATTAAAAGGGTTTGAAGGGGATACAGGAAACGGGGCAAATAGGAAATTTTCCATGGGGTTCTAGATTTGTACTTAACGCTCACAAATAGTAAGCCTACAACCGAAAGAAAATGATTCAGTAAAGAGAATTCCACTACCTTGTTAGGTTGGGTAAGGTCAAGTTAGGTTGAGTAAGGTCAAGTTAGGTTAAGTAAGGCTAAAGTTAGGTAGAGTAAGGTCAAGTTAGGTTAGGTAAAGCCAAAGTTAGGTTCAGTAAGGTCAAGTTAGGTTAGGTAAAGCCAAGATAGGTTAGGTAAAGCCAAGTTAGTTGAGTAAGGTCAAGTTAAGTTAAGTAAGGCTAAAGTTAGGTTGAGTAAGGTCAAGTTAGGTTAGGTAAAGCCAAAGTTAGGTTGAGTAAGGTCAAGTTAGGTTAGGTAAGGCTAAACTAGGTTGAGTCAAGTCATGTTAGGTTATGTCAAGTTAATATATTGAATAAAAATTGCGACCGGGAACATTTTCTAATGCCGAAAACGATAAATTAAAAATATGCTTGTAGGTAGCTCAAACAGTATCATCAAAAAGGTTTTAACTAATTTAGTAAAACAATAGTGACAAAAGATGCGAAAAAACTCTTCAATTTCGGAGAAATACGCGGTTTTCTGATTTCCTAAGAGAACTGTAACAGCTTTGTTCTGGCTTTGAATACTTTTGAGAGTTAATTTGTTTTCTTTTGTGTACAAAATTACTTAGTGTTATATTTACTGATTTTACTTTTATTTTATTTCTGGTATACTTTTACTTCACCAATCCAGAACTCGTTGTTTAGCTTTGACTGTCACCGAACTGCCAAGAAGAAGACTTTCCATCCAAGTTTAAATTGAAACTATTTTTGCAGTTTACCAAATTAACACTTTAATTGAACTGCCATAGTGTGTTGGTCTCAAGTACCTTTTTATGTTGTCTACCAACAGTTCAATCATATATAACTGTTGTAACAACTTATTGTGATGGTGGCATTTTTATAGAAACCATAGTATGTCCATGAAAAGTAATACTTATGAAAAACAAGAGATGAATAGCATAACACTATGAAAATCCCATTTAACTAGGTTTTCTGGAGGGTTACCAAACTGTCTACAACTGGTCTATGTAAATGGGATGTCTACCGTTAAGATTCAAACTCCACGGTATACTTACAAGTGTAGCGGTGTTGTATATTTGACGAAACTGTTGGGCAAACAACATTTTAGACAGATTTCCCCAAACTCACAGCACAAGACAAAAAGAAACACTACGCAGTGACGACGGACGTCGCGGCGACTGAGTTATTTTGGGCGTCGCCCACTTTGCGATTTAGCAACAGTTTTGGCGGTATAAATCATGCAGTTTTTATTTCAAAATACAAATTACCCAATGCAAAAAAAAAAAAAAACTATGATCATCTGAGATAGCACTCTTCTAGGTGTTATATGTTAGCATTAGCATTATTTCGTAATACTGCAGCAAAAACAGTAGTTTTAGTTCATGCGTTGAGGGTCTAAAACAGCCTCTTCTCTCCCCAAGAAGTAAATATGTAGGCTATCGATTGTTTTAATTCGTCCCCTTCTTCTCATTAGTTTGACATATCGATACTATAACGTACAGTAACTCAATCAGTAAAAGGGGAAATTATTGAATCACTCCCTTTAAAGCTAATTGTTTGCTTTAGAAACACTTAAAACTATTTGAAAATCGTTTGAGAGGTTATCTTTAATTGAAAAACATTTTCGTTTCCTACCTTAGTTTGCTTAATATTTGGTGCAATATGACAAAAATATAGTTCATCACACGGGCAAAAAGTGTCTTTCCAGCCCTCGTTTATTTTCCAACCTCGGCCGCCTCGATCTTGAAACTTGAGCTCGGGTCTAAAAGAGTCACTTTACGCCCGTATGAAAATATACTATTTTTACAGCTAAAGCGATTGAAATAGTTTTGTTTTAGATGTAACCTATCAAAACATAAGCATAATTTAATTTATCTCTCTAGCAGAAAGAGTCGATCCAGACAATTTCTCTAGGAGGGCGAAAAGTCATGTGACCCAGCAAATTTGCGGTAGGGAGGTAATGGATGGAGGGAGGTGATTATAATCAAACGACAACATGGCTAACCCCAACACCCCCCCCCCTCAGGTGAACTGGCCACCTCGCCATGTACGATGATGGCTGTTTGACCTTAGGGCTGATATACATTATCGGCTTGATGTTCTCCATGAAAGCTTACTATGGGGACATTACTACGAAAGTAAATTAGTTCGATATTTACTTGAAATCGAAATTCTAGAATTCCATCATATATCGAGCTATATACAGCCAATAAAATAATTGTATATTATATGAGTGTCTCTGGGGTGTAGGAAAATTATATAGGGCGTGACCTTTCAATATAGGCTGTGTTAAAATAAGTCTTAAAAGTTTCAAGTGTTATTACTGTATTGCAAAACGTCGAATTGATTTTTAAATATACCGGTAAGTCTAATATATGATAAGTGGATGTGATGAGTATAAAACATAAGTGGTAGACATCTCAATCTGGATCGTGTTGCTAATGATTTTTTTTTTCTCAAAAAGCTTATGCCTTTGAAAAATTGTATACCAAATTTCATTTAAGTGGAGTTTAAGAAAAACACAAAACATGGCGGAAATTTCCCTAGAGTAGTTTATTTTCGTTTTATTTTGAGCAGTTTCTACAATACCTATTCCTACAATTTTTTTACTTGTTTGTTGACACCTGTTTATGCTCTTCCATTGTTGGCATTAAAAGCTGCGTTAACAAACTGAAAATAAGCTGCTTAGTTTTATCATCTTTTCAACACTACAGAATATGTACGACAAGTTACTACCTGTTACAGCTATGTTAGTCGAGTTATGTGCTGTTATGGAGCAGAATGCTTCTAACAACGAAGACTCGGTAACTCACTTACAGCAACTACAGAGAGAGCCTCAAGAATAGATGTTCGTAGAGAGTTTTAGACACTCTGATAAATTATCAATACGTCCCTTATGTCCAATATTTAACACAGAAATATCAGTACGAATATTTTTCGATACACCAACACACTGTAACTATTTGTACAAGTTACAATTGATCGAATTCGACCGATCAGGCCCAATCAGAGTCTCAGAAGTTTGATACAAATTTACAGTCCAAATAGTTACAATAGATCTAGTAAAAGCACAATATACCTTAACACCCCACCGACCAAACCAAAGGACCGAAATAGGTGAACAATAACACCAACAGAAACATAACAGCGAATTTCCCGCTAAAACCACAGCCCTGTAACTACTAAACCGCCGGGTCCAATCACAACGTATAGTTTCGGTAAGTGTGTTATCATTAGATTGGACAATGCAGTACTACTACTACTACAGTACAAAGGTGGATGAGTCCCGCAAAGATTAAGCTAGTAATGAACGTTACTTTTGTATTTAGTTTTTCACATTTTTACAGGATTCCATTTTAGTTTGGCATGATGACAAGTCCGAGATTAAGGAATACTACGGTATTTTACTGTAGAACACTGCCAAGTGTTTGGTCGGACTAAGTTCTTTTTATTCTAAAATTGGCTACAATCTTTGGAATAGGGTATACATCCTGATAATGTTCCTATAACCGAAGATTTTTCTGGTTAAACCAAATACCAGTCATAAATATATATCTCACTGCTCTAAATAATACAACTCGTGTAGTAACTGGTCATTAATCATTGGTTTTGGTTATACCAGTTAACTATAGAATTATCATTAAAACATTTTCGAACAAGAAATCTGATGCTAATTCTTTAGAAGGTAAGAATCGTACTGGTTTAACATAGCTTGCACAGTTGTGGAGTATACCACGGACATCGGTGGAGACCCTTGAGATGTGAAAACACCGCTTTCGACCCATTCTAACAGTCACAAACATTTACAAAGTAAAAAACCAATAAATCGCACCATTCATGCAATATTCTAACACTAACCTGGTTGCATTTGTTGATTTGTTTTTTCAGTCCCGCGAACGCCATTTTGCTGACGTAGTCTCTTAGACGTCCTCAGTGAACCTGTGGAAAATGTTTCGTTAGTGAATAAAAGATAAACATCACACAAAAGATACACAATTACAAGTTAACTAAATTGAAATTTTAAATAGTCTTGAAGATTAGTGTGACAAAAATATTCAATATTATCAATGCGTTCACGAAGCGAACGAAATACCTATAGTTATTGTTGAGGCAAACTTTATCGGCATTGTCAAAGGTTTGTATACATTTTTTAAACATTCTCAAGAGAATAACGTTCTTTATTCAAAGTAACCAAATACGATCCAAAATAATTTACTTCTAAGGGTGCAATTGAGATATAGTGACCGTGTTGTCTTAAATGGAAAATAATATCCATCGTAAGACAGCAAGTTTGAGAGTGAGGAAGAGACTTCGGGCGCTCTGCTGGGTGACAAACAGAGAGGTGTTACATAGATAAAACATGTCTAGATAGCTATATAAACCAACGTAGACTTACAAAACCTAGAAATTGACATCCCAAAACCATAATGATTCACTGGCAAACACAATTTTGAGAAAAGTTTTCAGCCACACTAAATCAAGTAGCCACGATCCCTGCGGTTGTGTTCAAACAACAAATTTACTGCAAATAAAGTTGGGAAAGGCGACGGTGGAAACCAATTTACTAGATTGAGAGTCAAAAGTGTAAAGTTCAGTGCGATTCATCATTCACTGTGGAAGTAGACGGCGCGGCGGCGCTGGTTTTGGATGATCACTCATCTGTAGATCGATTGTCATTCAACGATCATTTACAGGACATCATCATTTAACAGGACCAGGGTTTGGACCGTTCCCTGACGTAGTAAACAAATACTACTGGAGAAACACCCGGTAAAATGTCCCACCAACGTAGCGACTCTGTGACAAATCTGGAGAGACAAGTGTAGTTATTTTTAGTTCCCCCACGTGGAGGGTTGTACGTTGTACATTGGTGTAGTAGTTGGGGAGGGGGAGGGAGGGGGGATAAACATCGTGGGATTACAACTACACTCGCACCGGGTTGATTGCTTCGTCTCATTTCGTTCATTTCCGAGGTCGATTCGTCGATTTTCCCCAGTGACGTTTAAATTAATTAGCACAACTATGCAGAATAAGTTATATACTTAGCATGTTGAGGAGAGAAAGATCCTTAGACACAGTATATCATGTTGTCCAAGTATAACATTTTTAATAAAATATCGACTCGGAAGACAATAATTTCGGTCCAGATATAAAAGCTGAACAATAACAAATAGCAAATACCGTTGTACCAGTTATTGTCCGGGGTGGGACGGGGAGAGAGGAGGTTATCCGTTTGTGGAATTTCCGCCAGCTTATTTAGTTTCCTCAGGAATCTCCAGTTATCCGCCACCCTCTCGGTTTACAGCTTTTCAGCGATGTCTTGTTTGTAACAATATAGTAAATTTGAAGCGAAACGTTAATGTCATTATACACCATAGATGTACAACAGAGTATAAATTCCGTTTAATTAAGAAGCTGTAGCAAGTTTTAGAATATAAACAATTTAGTTTAATTTGTATGGCTACCAAAGTGCTGCGGTTCGTATAAACCAATTTTTTGTTCAGGGGAATCAAAATTAATGACCAATTAAAATACCAACTCGTCTGAGTGTATTTCATCCAAACATGAATGACAGATGAGTGTGGAATAAAGGGGGAAAGATTGTGTAGCTTTAACCAGATGTTTCTTCGGCCAGAAACATATTAATAGCCCAATGATCTAGGACAGCCGGAACAAGTTCTGAACCGTTAAAAATCTACAGATTTTTCTCAAAATCTAACTGGCGACCCTTTGAGAAAGTCTTACTGAAAACTAAAACCTCTTTTTTGTGCCTATCTGTTTGGTATGAAGAACTAACAAATAAAATAGTCCTGTTAACTAGCACCGCACAGCAAACTTTATGAGAGATAAAACAATTTCCTTCTCTGTAAGTTTTACTGATATACTACATATCTGAAACTGTGCGAAAGCGACTGAGAAGTATAACTTACTGCTTGAATGGACGGTTAATCAAACCACACAATACATCAGAAGAGTGTTACTCCTAGAAGGAGAACCATAATCCTCGAGAGAATTTTTTATTTGAAAAAAAAAAAACTGTTTGTTATGAAGGTTTTTGAAAATCCAAACCCAAATTTTCTTTTTTATGAAGACAGTTGTGAGAAAGTTTACATGAGGATTAATAAGACATTATAATACTATTTTAACATTGCCTCTTCGTTTTTCGTGTCAAGTGGAGACCTACATTGCACAAAACCGGAAGGAAGAGTTGACATTAGAGTTTCGTTATTTGCTCTGATTGCCCAATTGGACGTCAATCTCAACCTGAGCGCTATTTAGCTATTTCTGTAATGACTTGTACAGCAAGACGAACTGTAAACGTCATCGTCATACCAGAAATACGTCAACACGTTCAATTACTATGTCTTGCTGTCTACGAAAAGCATTCAGTCTTCGCCTAACAGCAATGCTATAGTCTTGCCATTTTAGATTACAAATATTGATGATTTATATCACAATTTAAAAATCAAACCCATACAAAACACAGTTACCGGCTATTTCACCATTTCGCCAATTTTACAATCAAGCGAGAGATAGCAGAAACAAAAGCAATCAGTGAAAGAGCGGCTTGTTTAAAGCATTTTAATAAAGGCCGAAGGAAGGTAAATAAAAAGGACGATATTCAAGGAAGAAGATGGATTTGCTGTCGGAGTAAAAGTTGGAATCAATTGAGGTCATGCAAATAAGACACGGACGTTGAATGCAAAATCGTAAGGGTTGGTAGGGGGGGGGGGAGGTAAGCCGTCCTACATTGCACAGCCCTATCGTAGAGTAGGTGGCAATTACGATAGTGGTTATAATATAAAATGTAAATACAGTATTATATATATTAAAAAATCTGAATCTAATTCAACTATTTTAGGAGTGGCAGATAGATATTATATAACTCTTCATGTTGGTGTATTTATGACCTTTTTTGTCAAGGGAAGCCCTGAAAACGTGAGTACTGACGTGGTCTTCAGGAGGTACCTCTTCTATCCGTTGTCTAAACGTTCCCTAAACTCCGAAGTAAAAAAAACGATTAAACATATCCGAATCTATTGAAAATTATAAAACTATGGCAAATAAATGAGGGAGATCGTGCTTGGTTTATGATTACCCCTGTTTATAGATAGTTGGAAAAATCTGAGTGATTAGGAAATGCTGTTTGAGGAAACATTGCAGAAAGCGGGCAAGTTACCCCTTAACATCAATGGCTAAACCTGTTTCTGGAGTGAGCAAAAACTAGCGAGTATCAACTATAGACTATATATGTTTGCAGTTATTATTGCGGTACCAAAGAGATTTTAGGTACAAAATGAATTGTGTGTATACACATATTCACCTGGCCAAATGTATCTGCTTTATTCCCCTGGCAGCCGAAAACACATGTACAAGTTTGTATAAAAGACTGAATTCAGATTAAGAAGACGGTAAGGTGCGCACCACTGTCCTCCCATTGAACAACCCTTACCAGAAGTACCTATAGATGAACTGTTTTTGCGTCTACGCCGGTGAAAATGTTTAATCGAAGACAGAGGTTTTTTTAAGAAGAGGGCCGCCACTATTTTATTATATTATATTAAGTTGTTTATTTATTTATTATATTAAGTTATACTATACTATTTTCAATTTTTTGTGACCATTATGTTCAATAAAAAAAAGATGTGTATGTAAAGATATAACCTAACCTAACCTAACCACTAACTAACCTAACTAAACTAACCTGTGATTATTCCCCAGTTAAAAAGTGGCGACCCTCTTCTGAAAAAGACCCGAAGACCGAAACGTGAGAATCCGAACCTATTAAATTTCTGTGGGTGTGTGGTGAATTAAACCCACCCCTCCCGTACGGTAATGCAGAATACTTGTCAGTTAATTGATTTAAAACATCGTAATTCATTAGATGATCACCGATCATGTCAAAATCAACATGGACCATGGTGATGGAAAAGAAGTGTTAAGCAATCTTTTTGTGCATGACTGTTCCCTATTCACAGGAAGTAGTTGAACATGTGAGTGTTTGCAGAAGAGACTGCGAAGATCCGACCAATAAACATCAAACATCGGAGACAGGGTAAATATTTGAGTCACTCGCTGAGACATATCACAACGTAGGGAGAAAACGACGGTTTAGGGTGGTCAGAGTTTACGTTGTAATTCCTAATAGACGAGTCGACGACGGTGAAAAAGGCAAAACCACTTGCCGGACCCCGCCAATTTAAAAATCAATATGTTTTATCTTGGAAATTAAAAGTGAGATTTGACTTTGGGATATTCTTGTATATTTTGCTGATTTGGAGGAAAAAATAATTTATTTTCGCATTTTGTTTTGTATTTAACGTAGACAATTTAAATAAATCTTAATAAGTATAGGCTACTATACTTGTCCTTTAATTTTGTAGCAACATCTTACTTAGATAAGAAAAAACATGTCGTTTTCAATAAAAGGATTCCGTAAAATTTTTGTTTTGAAAACATAATCCATCGATTATGGGTTTTTTATTCTTTAGATTCACCTTCTAGGGTGGCAGCCAGTCAGCTAATGCACACATCATTAAATAGCTTGTTATACACAGTAGTCTTCATGCACAGTATAACCAATAAGTAAAGCAGAATGGACAGATAATATCATCTATACTTTAGATAGAAACATCAAGTCGATATCAGTGCACTCGAACGTCGCCAACAATAAATACGTATCAAATCAAGCTTCAGATTTTACAATAAGAGTTTACTTGCACTATTTGATGGTTTAGTCTAAGTCACTTTCACAATCTTCAATGAAATTGCAGCACAGTAGTTAGTAATATATAGTTCAGTATCATATTAGCTGTTAAAATTTCAGTGAGTTAGTTAAAAAGAGCGGAGCATCACCCATTGCTGAAGCTTCCAATGCACTACACAGATTATGTTTTAGCTTGACCCAAGATATGCAGTATGATCGTGCCATATTTTCC